GACAAAATGGTAATATAAGCTGCAAAACTTTCCACGGGGTCTTGTTTGACTAGGGCCTCAGTCCAAACCTCCCAGAATTGGGGGAAAGGCACCTTTTCGTTCCATGAAATTTAGATCAGGCGCTTTGAGATTCTGCCTAAAGTTCTCTGTAGGGCAAGCCAGCGTTATGCATTGAGCAGAAGGGTTCATAGCCTATCATGTAACCCATCCTAAAAACACACACACACCCCTTTACTGCATAGGAGTTCCAATCCTGCCAGGGTTGTTTTGTAAGTTTCTTTATGTCCCAACAAACCTATGGTCGGTGTTTTTGTATCAGTACAGCTGTCACTTGGGCCATTGAGTGTTAATGTGCACAGATGTGTTCTGGCATGTAAAACATTGTACTGGCACATCAAATATCATGTCCTACTCTAGGAAGGGTGTTTCATTAATTATACATACAGCCAGCGTCACCTCTGAATTGGAACTGGGGGGCCTATCTAGACATGAGGACAGAAGCCACATTTGTGGCTTATGTCTCTGCCCCCATTCATACACGGGGCACTGAGGGAACGGAACCCTCTTCCCACACTTTCCTCCTGCCCAGCACTCTTCTGCCCTCAGCTCAGCTCCCAATACACATATGAGGGCTGTGAAGGAAGCGCCTGAGGTAAAGGGCCACAGGGGACTAAGGTGTGAGAAATCCAGGTGGCAGTGTGCGATTCCCAACCTTCCTTCTTGTCTTGGCACCATGTCCAAAATGAGGGGGAAATGTCATTGGCTGACAAGGTCATCAGTCACATCCAAGAAATGATAACCATGGAAGTTTTCTCCTCCCCAGTCCCCGCTGTAGTTGCACTCCCTAGAAGTAATTGTCGGGATTCCTGCCTCTTGCTGTTACCTCAGCAGCCTGCCTTCTAGGCTAGGAGCTCCTACATCTCCAAGGCAGTTCAAGAGTTTTTGGAAGTTTGAATTTAGGAGGGATAAGATCATAAGAAGTAAATGCACTGGACGAACAGGGTAATTGGTTATTCCAGATTCGAAGTTCCCCTGTGTTGTTTTCTGTACTGGGCCAAAATCGCCTTGTCCCTGAATAGCATTAAGTCTAAAGCTTCTGTGAGATAAGGTTGGACAGCTGCCATGGTTAGCCCTTCTGACTGCGGAGGAGCTGCTGTATTGTATTAAACCAACGATCTGAAGAGAGATGTGTCCTAAAAGGACCTTGCAATGGAAAGCCAGATAGCTGGGCAGAAAGCGGCTACAAGCATTCAGCGTTCGCAGTTGCACACGGACACCACATTGTGGGGTGGCCCACTGAGGCCAAGCAGTCAGATTTTGCATAAGAGTTTGCGAGGACTTCTTTCTCTCTCTCTCTGAAGTCTCAGTGAGGACTGTAATTAGAAATGTAATTTTTGGTATGCGTGGATTCGGAGCTAGGAAAACTTCCATTTGGAGGAGGTTTGGCAGATGTGTTTTGCTTTCATGCTTCGATTGTGACCGATTGCCACACTGGGAAGGAATTTTCCCTCTAGCTTTGCCATATGGTCCGTCCCCCTTTTGCTTTCCACTGTCATGCATGACACATCTCATTTACCGGAGCCATCTGGATATGCTTTAAGTAAAGGTATGCCTTGCCCTATATTTACCTCCAGCTTCTCTTCTCCGTCTGTTGGATGCTGGAATGTGGAGCAGAGGATTCTGAATTCCCAGGGACTCCTCTTTTCCACGTAGTGGTCCAGGCACCAGCCCATACACTTTTCTGCCCTCCCTGTTAAGTGATCAGGTTCCATAATAACACTGGCGCCACCTAGCAGTAAGTGTTTCACAGTTACTGAGCCCGTGTACGTAGGTATAGCTAAGCTGTTAATTACAAAATCCAAAAGAGAGATGTGACATTCAGGTGCAGGATGTCTGTTTCTTACAAAGTGCAGATCTTGTTTTTTCCCCTTTAGCAATGCTTTAACAGACTTGGATTAAACCTTGGTGGGCTCACCAGACGCCAGATGAAGTTGTTTTAGGGCTGATTCCAGTCTCCAGGGCATCAGTTGGCCGTCCTTGGTTTGCATAATACAACCTGATATTTTGGGTTATACAAGGCTCGTTTTGCCCCAGTTCCATTATGACCACCAAAATCCAGGTTTTTAAGAAATGGAGTTCTGAAAGGGTATTTACATTCTAGTTAGATTACCAGTAGGATCAGGACAAGCTTCTCTACAGCTATGAGGACTATAAATCTATTGAATTTTTAAAATAAATTTAGAATCCCTATATGCCATTTTCTGCGCTGGATATCAGAGTCTTTGTTTACACGTTAACATATGGACACATGGGATGTACTCACAGCTGATGTGCAAGTAATCCTGCCTCAGTGCAGGACAGAAGGCTGTCTGTGTTGCTTTCACCCCTTTCCCAAGCCAGCATTTCTGTGCCTTTTTAAAATTCCCAGTTCTTAACATTTGTGTACTTTCCAGGCAATTATTCAGATTATAACAGGATGACAGAAGGGAAAGTTTGCCTCCTACTAGAATTGGCTGTCTTATTCTTGTGCTCCATCTTGGGCCATGATTTGTAAATATTCTAGTGACCAGTGTTGGTGTTTTGAGTTGAATCTGTGACCAATTAACAATGTTAAATGTTGACCAAGAAGTGATTAGAGGTAGGCATGAATTTTGAGGCCCAACATTGTGAAGGTGAAATAACCTAGCAGTGCTCAATGGCTGTCTCTTCCTGCACTCTACACCAACAAGGTGGTAATTTGTGGAGTATGAAGAACAAGATGACCGTTTCATGCAATGACGATCACTCTGTTTATGGGCTGAGGTCAGAGACTGCAAAACGGCCTATAAAAATACCAAATACCTTTTTTTAAAACGAAAGAATAATGTCAGAGTGATTCATGATCTCATTCTGGTCTGATGATCCAGCAAAGAATGTGACCAGCATCTCACTTCCAGCTGGGCCCTCCAGATGTTTCTGAGAAGCTCACCAACTGGGCATGACAACAATCAGCCCCATTGCTTTCATGAGTCATTCTCCACAAATGTGTCGAATCCTTTTTTAGACCCAGCTTAGCCAGTGACCAGCCTGACCTGGATGTCAGATCTCAGAAGCTAAACTGGGATTGGCCCTGGTTAGTACTTGGATGGGGAGACCACCGAGGAAGTTGAGGGTTGATATGCAGAGGCAGGAAATAGCAAACCACCTCTGTTTGTCTCTTTCCTTGAAAACTCTATGAGGGTCACCATAAATTGGCTGCAACTTGACAGTACTTTCCATCACAAACCTAGTAACCACTGACCACATCTCTCCATTTTTATTTTTGCATTTTGTGTGTGTGCGCATCCATGCCTGGAAGTCATGGTGACCTCTGGCAACTCCTACTGGGGCACAGAGGATGTTCAGAGAAGTGGCTTGATAGCCTGAATTACCTCCCGGCCTTGGTATTCCTTGGAGGACTCCCATCCAAATACTTGCCAGGGTCAGCCCTGCTTAGCTTCTGAGATCTGATGAGATTGGGCCTGCCTAGGCTATCCAGATTCAGGGACTACTGACCACATCTTGTAGTACACGATTTCTTTTCACAGTGCTTAATTATCTGTTAATAAGTTACTAAGAAAGTGATGCCCTTTGGCTAGTAATAAACTAAACTGAAGCTTAATTATCTCCTTTTGTTTGTTAATATTGTAAGAGAGGGAAGTGTGGAGGACAGGGGAGAGATTTTTCTCTCACCTGTCATCACGCTGTAGAAAAAAGCAAGAGTCCAGTAGCACCCTAAAGACTAGGAAAATTTGTGGCAGGGTATGAGCTTTTGTGAGTCACTGCTCACTTCTGCAGATACCCATTCTGTATGTGGTGCCTTCCATGGAAATCAATCAATATGGGTAGCTGTGTTAGTCTGTCTGTAGCAACAGAAAAGAGCAAGAGTCCAGTTCCAAACAGTCCACTTCTGAAGAAGTGAGCAGTGACTCATGAAAGCTCCTACCCTGCCACAAATTTTGTTAGTCTTGAAGGTGCTACTGGACTCCTGCTCTTTTCTATTGCTACAGAGACTGATATGGCTACCCGTCTTCATCCGTCATCGCAATGTTTCTGATTTTCTCTTTTGTCTAGCGTTCTATTCAGTGAATTCTGATGTATTATTTGTCCTTAAAAAGGGCAGTCTGCTATCAATGTGCGTCACAGAGCTAGAGAAGGGTGCCGCTATTCCCTGCTGTACTTTCTCCCCAATTATAAACTCTTCCAGGCTGCTTTAGACCTTGGAGGGGGGGAGGTAGGTACTCATATTGTGACCAGTGTTCCCTCTAAGCTGAGTTAGTGTGAGCCAGCTCACAGTTCTTTAGCCTCCGGCTCACACATTTTTCTCTTAGCTCAGGAAGGATGGCCCCAGAGCAAACTAATTAATGCAGGAGCCAAATCGCTCGCTCACAACTTTAATGCCAGTAGCTCACAAAGTAGAATTTTTGCTCACAAGACTCCACAGCTTAGAGGGAACATTGATTGTGACTGGTCTTCCTTCCCCCCTCCCCCTCCCTTGGGCATGAAGAGTCCAAGGGAGCCATCTTCTATCAGGGAAATGAGATGGGGGAAGGAAGCCAACCCTTCATTCTGTACCACTGCAGCCTGATCCATGTGTTCTGTCATCGCAGGTGTTCAGGACCATGCAATACACCTGGAGTTCTGGTCTCAGAATTCCTGTTTCATAAAAGCAGTTTTCCTAAATTAAGAACAGGTGATCTTTAGCCTTTCTGCAAACCACTGAACATGCCTAGTTGCCCCCTTTCCCACTATACAGTGTCTCTGATAGGAGTGACCACAGCTGTGCACAGTACGCTCAGCGTCTGTGCATGAAAGATTCATTTAATGGTCTCTTAACAATGGTCTCCAGATAAAATGTTGGAATTACTATTGCACAAGCATACATAAAAGGTCAGGCTTTGCATCTTGAATTTTTAAAAAACTACAAACACAAGCAAGAAACTCATTTTTCATGCCCATCTCTCCTCTCTCTCTTCCTCCAGGTGTTCTACTGATCTTGGCACTGACAGAAGAGCTATTATTTGCTGTTCAGGGACTGTCTCCCAGCTTAGCATCATCTCAAGACCTCCTGACAAACAATATCAGCACCTCAGCTATGGGGATGACTCCTCAGAAGAGAGGCCATCACACGACTGAGCCCTCACCCACAGCTGCTTCTGCAAGCTTCCATTCTACTAGCTCAGTGGAGACCACCGTTTCTTCCATTGGCCAGAAGAAGTCAACCAGCAGCCCTGCTGGCAACAAGGAACCGTATCACTTATACAACCAGAGCTCTCTGTCTTCTGGAAAGACTCAGCCTAAGGGGAAAATATTTCAGATTGTCAAAGGCAGCGTCACAGAATTTACAGAGCCTTACCTAAAGACAGGACTATATTCTCCTCCCCCTAACACAAGGAGCCAGTCTCCAAATCAGCCATTTCAGACTCCTCCTACAACTCACAGAAGCAGAAGTAGCTCTGTGCTGGTAACTACAACAGACTCAAATGCTTCTTTCTACAGTGATTTCTTGGAAGGCCTTAACAAAGCAGAGAAGGGGGATTCAACAGAAACGGTTGTGCAGGAGACAGATCTCACGACACCGGCAACTGGCCCTTCAACAACTCCCGAAATGGTGACGGTGCCTTTTAAACCCCCGCGTTATGGCATATGGGATATTTTAGGCAAAAATAACTCTTGGGTAATCTCAAACCAGACTATAAGCCAGGTACCCTTTTTTACCAGCCCTGGGACTGCTGGTGGTGCAGCAGTAGCATCAGCATCCAGTCATGCTGGTCCAACGGGCGTTGATGCTAACGTTTCATTGCGTACAACGGGAAGTCCTAATGGAACATCCATGACAATGCTCCCCTCTTGGGATAATACCAGCTTCCCAAGCAGTGCACTCTCCACAGAGCCCTCCACGTGGCTGCCAACGTCCACTTCGACAGCAACGGGAAATTTCCTAAACAGACTGGTACCTGCTGGGACTTGGAAACCTGGCATGCCAGGAAACATTTCTCATGTCACAGAAGGGGACAAGCCCCAACACAGGGCAACAATTTGTCTCAGCAAAGTGGATATAGCATGGATCATTTTGGCCATCAGTGTCCCCATATCGTCGTGCTGTAAGTTAACTTTCTCTCTCTCTCGCCTTCCTGAGACATGTTAGTTTGGATATACATTATGCGGGGATCAGAATGGGGCATTGGGCTCCTGAAAACATGATGCTGAGAGCTTAATACGGGGGTTTTTTTGTCAATGCTCTTTTCTCTAGCCCTGGTAACACTTGTTTAAGGGGATTTCCTCATTGTGTTTGCAGTTATTGGTATTGTTTATGGGTGGCTGCCCATATGACCTCATGAGTTGGATCCGGTGAACTGTTTTCAGAGTTGTGGCTCTGGAATGGGACTGTCTTGCCTCCCCTCTCTCTCTGCAAGCTGTTTCACCCTCCAGATAGCCAGTCCTGAGGGTTGGGGGACCTCAGGAGCAGTGTGGGATATGGCAGAAGTGACAGTTGTACCTGGAGATAGGATTCAGCCGAAGTCACTCGCACGCATACCCCTTGTCACACGTTGAATTTGTCCTGCTTTTTGTACTGCAAGCAACTGGTTACTTTTTCCTGATGATTCTGCAGACACTATCAGGTGTAGTTAATTTTCTCTACTACTTATGGAAATTACTTCATTGAAGTTCATTACTGCCAGTGGTAGTCCACCAGGGGAGATTAAAGGATTTGGTGGTAGAGATACTTGGAGCATTGAAATTTCAACTCTCCCGCACTAACATTAGCATACTGTGCCATTCTCAGAGACGCCACTGGAATTTCTAAATCCACAGGCGATGCACCTCCTCTAGGAGAGCAGCAATCAGATATGTCAAGCTGTAACGTTATAGTGTGTGATCAGGAAAAAAATGGGGCACCAAATGGATTATGCTTGGTCTGCAGATCTGATAACGATTTCTTTTCTTTTTTCCCCTTTTTTGCGAAGGAGTGTAATGCTATCATGGGAGGTAGGCAGGATGGTCAATAAAGAAAGCTTTTAGGATTGAAATCCTGGTCTGACCATTTCGAAACAACGGTCCATAACACAAACATAGATGGCGAGTATGTCCAAAAAAGTTGCAAAAGCTGTATTGAGCGAAAGTTTACCCATATTAAGTAAAACAATTAAATACAAATTGGGCCAGCCTGCTTTCCAGTCTGCCATCCCAGAAGGAACCACCAGTCCCATCCACCTTATCAATAATAATAAATGACTTTGGACCAACCATCATGCTTCCATATGAAACTGAGCATTAATGTTCATATACAGAACTGTTCATATACAGAAGAAATATGGCAGCATTCCCAGGCCATACAGAAATGCACAGAGGCTATGGAGAAGGGGGGGATAGGTAATTATTCAGAACAGTGTGAGAGAGAAAGGGCAAATTATACCAAACATGACTGTTAGTCTGGGGGGGTATCTGAAAGAGCTCCTCTCAGAGAATATGAAAATACACTTCTTAAGCCTCTCTGTGGTGAAATATGAGGTATACAGGGAGTTAAATGAAATTAGGGGCCAGTTCTTGTCACATGCTTACAGCTCACTGGATCCTATGCTGCTATAAGAGGTTAAAGATGGGTCTCAGGTCTGGAAACTTTTTAAGACCACTGTTGTAGATGATCCCCCAAATCATAACCTGCTGCAGTTATCATCTATTCATGTGATGGTCTAGAAACCACTGTGTGGATTTAAGGTTAAATGTTTCCAAGCGTATATTTTCCAGGAGCTAACTTACAGATAACAGAATACTGTGTCTAAATCAGTTCATATTCTTACACAATTAACACAACTTGATGGAACATCTCTGTTGTACTCTGAGAATTCACATGACCATCCTCCAGACCTGAATGTAGAAGAACATGATTACTTAAGCCAGAAGCAATAACTAAATAAAAGTGTTGACTGGTCAATATCAAAAGTCTGTAGTCTCCCACAAGAAATTGTTAATCTGCCTTTGTCATTCTGTGATTGACACAGCAGCCACATCTCTCCTCCTCCTCCTCCTCCTCTTCCTCTTCTTCTTCTTCTTCTGGAATTATTAGTGATAGGAAGCTGCAAACAGGTGGTGGTCTGGGTGGAAAGTGGCTTTTCAGCTCACTTCCCAGTCAGCAGGCAGCTTTGCTAGATCATAAACCCAATACCAAAAGTTGAATGGGGGTCAAGAAGAGTGACTCTAGAGTGGGGTTCATCTGAGTAATTACATGTAGACAACGAAAAGGGTTTAAGTTCTGTGTTGAGGAGCCAGCCAACAGATGAAAAGGCCAGACATCCTAGATTGAAGCTCTGGTGGGAGATGGAAGAGTTTTTCCTCAGAGTGTTGTAGGTGGTTTGATAGAAATCGTTGTCTGGGGGAAGTGTAGACTCGTCTCATTACTGTGCTTGGCTAGGATACAAAGCACCATGAAACAAATTCTGTGGTAAAGTTTCCAGCTAACCTGAAAAAAACTCTACTTGATGGGGAGATTTTGCTTTCATGCCCATAGTCAGAAAATTAAGAGCCAAAGCAAGAATTGCCAGCAACCTGGAGAAGAAAATGCCCCTTCAGCAGTGGCTTCATGCGTGGAAACGGGCAGTTAGAGCTTTCCTTGGCACGTAACATCCCTTAGTAAATACCATCCCATTAAGCCTTTGTTAAAGGGGCAAGGCATTTCCTCCCGTCTGCCATTTTCTTTAGCTGATGTGAATAAACCACTTTTGAACATACGAAGCTTCCACACAATGAGTTCGACTTATTGATTTAAATCATTTGTATCCCAACTTCTCTCCTTCGATTCAGGTGGTTAACAACAGAACAAGTTTCAAGGACGCAGACCGAACATAACAGTCCATTAGCAAGATAAAAATAGCACACAGATTAAAGGTGCAGATCATTGGTTCAGCTAGCCCAGCAGTGTCTATTCTGACTGGCACAAACTCAGGCTGAGAAAACCCATCCTCAGTGCCTCCCACCCGAGATCTTTTGACAGGAGATGCTGGGAGGGGACCTGAAATATTCCGCAGGCAAAGTATGTGCTCTACTACTGAGCTATTGCCCCTCCATTTTTTGCTTTTTCTGCCCCCTCACCCTTCCAAACTCTGCATGTCTCCATCTCTAGACCTGCTAATACCATCGTGCCAGCAGAAATCTACTGCTCCTTGGTTCTGCCTCTGGATTTTCTTCCCCCTTGACCTGTCCAGAAAGCAGGATTTTTGATTTCAAGAGTTATAACCCTGCAAGAGGATTTTTTTTTTTGTTACCAGCAGCCTTTAGTGTGTCATAATACATGGCTTCTGGGAAAAAAATTTTTTTGGGGGGAGACAGCAGTTTGTCACATGACACATGGGTCAGGTGTTCAAAGATGCAACAAGGCAAGCATGCCACGGGGGTAGCATACAAGCCTTTTGTGTAAGTCCAAGATGCTTCCTGTGGATCCAGCTTCTCTCCATAGGTTTTGCAGAGTTTCTTTTTATTATTATTTATAAAAATCTGCCCCCCAAGGGTAGAATTTTATTTGTTTTTTCATAACAAACAAACCAAACATACACACATATAACACAAACGGGGGTATCAAATGCTTAAGTTTCCAATAATTGCCTCTTAGATATTCTCTATCTAATACAATATCACGTATCATTATTTTCTATGAGCTCACATTTTTGTATCTTAAAACCAACATCTGTAGTACCTGCTATCTCTGTGTTCTATCCTATACTTTGCTCTAGGGATTACATTTTTAGGTTATAATCATTTGCGCTATTATACCAATTATAGAAGCGCCTCCATGTGTTCTGGAATATATAGTTTGTGGATCCGCCTATCAACAAAGTCAATTTATCACTTTCCGCTGTTTCCATCAGCTTTTGTATAGGGTTTTGCAGAGTTTCTGTAGTGCTTCAAAGCCCTCAAAACCTGCAACACTTTCTTACTACAAATAGTAGGCCGAATGAGGGAATGAGTATACTGTAGGTAGCAATGAGTCCATTGTAATGTCTCCAGCTTCCTTAGATGCTCTTTGGTGTCTGCAGCCTATAAAAAACATTCTTGTACGTGAGCAGGGGGGGAAGAAGAGGGGGTATTTTGTTGTGATCCATGTTTGTCAAGTCAGCAATTGAATTGCTGTGTTTACTTTCAGTCCCCCCCAAAAGCTCAGGTGGCCTTTTCCTCACAAGCTGCACCTTTCCTTCCCACTCTTTCTTCAGAACTGAAGGCTGTACAAGACAGGTGGCTTGCCTGGTATTTTGCCAGGATAATAATATAATGATGATAATCACACCCTAATCATTCATTGGCTCCGCTTACCCTGCACTCCCCTCATCTCGGAAACTGAAAGGCAAGCATTACGGACTAGGCTTGATTTATTACAAGCATCTTCACTGACTCAACACTTTTCTTGTCATCATAATGTGAAATAAATAACTGGCTTTTCCTTGACAGACAGATCGGTTGCCGCTCCTTGTCCCTGCTTCGCCACTCAGAAATACTTTGTTTTTCCTGAAAATTCATTCTCACAGAAATGTGCAGTTTCATGTTTGGCAAAGCTGAACAGCTGGTACCATATGCACCTCAGTGGCAAAAATCACCTCACAGAAATGCAGAGTTGCAAGGAGATTGCTGCCACCTTCAGGACAAAAACCAAACATGACCACAGTTCTAGCCTTACCTTTTGCTCCAGGTTTATCAGTGACCCTAATTTTTAGAATCAAATTGGTACCAATCAAAACGTTACAACAAAGAAAGAAAATTGAGTTGGTAAACTAAAGCAGGTGAAACCCATCAGTGGGTGTTGCACAATCTGTGGGTGTTAGCTTGTGTTTTTCAAAGGAATAAATTCTCATCTTGGTAGCAGCTATGAACACAGAAGGTTAGGTTCTGCAGTGAGATGCTTCACTGTAAAATTGTCTTGTGAAAGCCTCCCCCCCCCCCCAGTGAAACTGCAAGGTAGAATGTTCCCAGAAAATACTGAGATTCCCCCCCCCCTTCAAAGCGCGGTAACTAGTAGTTTTATCAGCTGGAGACTCTCAGAATCTCAGAAATCAGGTCCGGCTGTACCATTATTTGAATTATGCTGTAGAGTCAGACATAGTCTGGGGGTGTCTGT